CAAAAAATATATGATCATAATCTGTGACAAAAATGCTATAATAAACTAGATTAGTGGATAATTCAGCAGTGCAATTTAGTCTAGAAAAATCATGAGTGCACAATAATTGTATAAAATCTGAACATTTAGTGAAGAAAATTTAGGGGAACAAATAAGAGACAATAAGTGTAACACTAAATCTGGTCAAACATTACACATTGCTCTTTGTATTGTTGTAAAATACATTAATGAAAAACAAGATAACAAAAATCAAAAAGATAAATTATTATATATAGCCTGTATAGGCTACTATAAAATTGAGACATGTTTTAAATGTATAGCACAGCTGTTTAATGAGGCAGCAACATATGATAGATAGGACAGAACAAGAAAGGCTATTAATAATCTTTCATTGCGCAAAAGTAGTATTATATGATTATGAAAGGATCCAATACAGTGCGGCACACAGCGCTTATGCGCATCCCGAGCGCAGAATGATGCGCTTGAAGCAACACGGAGTCACAGCGCGCAGCGCGTCGAATCCGCATTGAACAGTTCAAAGCACAAAGGAAAGACATATCGATGCGTAGTGTATTATACACAGTATCTATGCAATCGTTTATTGAGCCTTTTCTTTTAACAGTTTTAAATTTCAGTTACTGTGCGCGTGAAGAACAATTATAGTGCTCTCTGACTCTAGGCTACTCTGTTGCGATCTAACAGACGCCCGGTAGAAAGTAACATGATTTAGTTACAGCAATAAAGTCCAGCAATATAAAGTTGTTTTATGCTAAACCATAGACCTTTATCTACAGATCAAGAATAATAATAGTAACATTGAATCATCTTGATCTTGGAGAGTTTCATCGTGTTGCCTGTCGTAACAGAACGCGACGCGCTGTTAAATGCTGAATGGAGAATGACTGACAGCCGCAGCGGAGGGAAAAAGTTTACGAGGTCTTGAATTTAATGACTTAAATATTAATTTTTATCTCACATTATACTATATAATGGCTTCAGAACACTTATAAGATAGTGCACGAAAACTTTATGGTACTTGATAATGTTTTTGTGCCTTTTGTGGGGCTTAACAATAACACAGAATAATACGCACAATATCGGATTTGGATCGGCCTCCTCTGACCGATACCCGATCCGGCAAAAATGGCAGTATCGGAGCCGATACCGATACTGAGTATCGGATCGATGCATCCCTAATATCCCCATAGTGATGTGTGTTCTGCGCATGTTCTATTCGCAAGGAATCTTGGTCTTTTGAGTAGAAAAACTTCTCGGCGCATACAAAACCCCGCGTGCAGTATACCGGAAGTAAACATGGCGAGACGCAGCACAGCATACTTTTGGAGCGAGGTCAGTAACGTTACCAGCACCAAAGCGCAAACAAAGGCGATCGCTATCTGCCCCGAACTATTCATTATCCGCGTGCTGCTGTTGTTGTTTTCTTTGGATACAGGAAGAAGAATCGGAAATGACGCATATTGGGTCTTAAGGTTGTCCGTACGTCCAGACGCTAACCGCGCGTCGCGTTTACATCGGGATATTGCAATTCCATGTATACAGGAGTAACTCTCTCTGCTCACGCATGTAAACGGGTTATCCCTAATGTTTCAGAAACCCGAATAGTGACCTTAACCCGACCATAACCCGAAATTTGGCTGCATGTAAACGTAGTCATTTACTCTCTCAAGTTTCTTTCTTCTGTTGAAATTATAAAAGTTATTTGGAAGAATGTGGCTAACCAAACCATAGTATATTTAAGCACAAGAAAGAAATGAATACAGGTTTGGAACAACATTAGAGTGAGTAAATAATGACAGAATTTTTATTTCTGGGTGCAGTATCTCTTTAAAGACCCACTCCGATGAAAATAATGTTTTTCTAGGTGTTAACATGTTCTTGTGGCATTTTTCTGATGTTAGAGGACATATCTTGAGAAAAATAAGCTCAAAGTTGAATTTCTGAGTATTTCTACATTCAAATGGCTGTGAATCAGTAGCAGACGCTAAAATGCCGGCTAAAATCGACTGGAGTTGTGACGTAGTAACTCCACTGGGCGTCTCCACACGCGACGTCTTGGAGTGAAATAATGATCGGTGATCGGTGATAACTTTGATTAACTTCGGATAATAATAATTAACGTGTATATAATACTGTTGCCCCACCGGTATTGGGGGTGTAAGCTAGCGGGAGAGACAGAGCTCTCAGCAACGGGCAGGGGGAGGGTCGTCTCCGTGCCAACGGCTCCGCCCACAACGCAGAGGCGAATTGCTAATGAGCTACTGCCGCTCTGGAGAAGCGAAGTCTCAGAAAACGGCACAGGTTTTGTGATTTTGGCTAAAAATGGCATAATCATAATTTAAAGACCACTGGGAATGTTTAAAAATAGCTCAAAATATGATCGGAGTGGGACTTTAAGGACAAGCGGCAGCATATTATACTGTCTCTTTAAGAACTGCACGCGACGCGTCTAATATACACGCATTTGACAAGCAGATTTTCTCTGTTTGCTTTCACTTTAGACATAACCAACTTTGTTTATGTAAACCGTGTGTGTATTTGACTGTATCAGCGTAATAAGACTCGAAAGATTAGTCCAGTATGCAGACTCTGTGACAGGCTTTTAGTTCCTGTGAGCGTCGGGTGTAACGCGCTCAGAAAAGCGCATGTTAGAACAGCGCATCAGCACGTGAATGATATGTTTACCTAGCAAGACTTTGACGCACATGCAAATAATGAACTTTTGTGAATTGCGGTGTCCCGTGAGTGTAACTCTACCTCTGCGTTTACATGTGATGTGATGTGAATGTACGTCGCGTTGTACAGTATGTTGAGATGAAGGCGCCAGAATTGAACTGATAGAATGCACGATACTATGATTTTTCTTCAAAAGCAGATCGTGGAGACATTTTAATCTTCCACGATCAAAAACCGTGAGACACACACCCCTAGTTGGAAGTTTAAGTTGCTGGCGCTCATGCTTCGTTCGCGTCACGTGCGCATAGGAAACACGCCACCCTATCGGCAAGGCTCATCGGCAGAAATATTCATATCGGCCGATGCCGATGATGGTCATTTTAAGCTTTTATCGGCCGATACCGATGTTGTCCCGATATCATCGTGCATCCCTATCATATACCTACACAAAAATCACCATGCGGTTTAATCCCTCAAAATGTTACCAATCAACCCTCTGTCTCACGGCCTAAAACAGCTATATTACACATTGCATGAAACAGAATATTAAAAAAAAAAACATAATAGGGGCACTTTAATGGTGTTATAGAAACAATAATTTTAAAAATGTAAAACATTATTTTAAAAATATATACTGTTTATGGTTAAAAAAAACATGATTATTTAATTTTTTTCTGAAATACTTTGATTTTAAATATTAATAGGCTTTTGGATTTATCTCACTCACGATTATTGGATTTGTTTCAAATGGAAATATGCAAATGCAGTAAAGAAAACTCCACTTCTCAGATTTCATGTAGTGTCTTAATCTGTTAGAAAATAAAGCCTATATTTAAAATATGAGTCTGTTCTAATGTTTTGCAGGGTCACTTCACAACTTCTCGAAAAGAGCTGACCTATACAAGTGTCTTCTATTGTGACAAACTGCAGCAATGTTCATTGAATTATTAATTACAGTCCATTTAATGCAGCAGGGGCATCCTTTAATTAAAGCCTTGGGAATCATAAACTTCTGGTCAGCGTTTTCAAGACTGAGATCCAAAGTCCTTAGCTTTAATGCACTAGTAGTTTAGTAACCATGCGGTTCAAAGAGGAGAGTTTGTGTCACACGTTTCCAAACAGACATCAGACCCCAAACATCCAGTTAGGAGCCCCCTCCTCTTTTTGTAAATCCCTCCCCTCCTCCACTTCCCTTCTCTCCCTCCTTTCAGTCTTTCAGGAGTTTTCCCGCTCTGCCGGACAGAAGGCTTTCGGAGGGAGAGAAAAGAAGAGAAAAGCAAGGGAAAGAAAGAGGACAGCAGGGTTCCCTGCAGTGGAGAGGAATTCGAATAATTCCAGTTTGATTACTCTGAGATCCAGAGGAGGACTGGATTCTTTCTATTCAGTTTATATTGGAACCAATGTCTTGAAAAGCAAACCAACAATAAATACATCCTAATACCATCTCTGGTTACATTAAACAGATCTGACTGATTCCTGTGTGGAGTTAAAATATGACACCGTTATGAAGGCAAAACAATGTTGAAGTAGATAAAGAAAGGCGAGTATTATGTGTTCCATTCAAAGGGTTTCACATACAAACACAATGCCCTTACTTAGCAGACATATCTTGAACTCTAGCACAGCATTTGGGCTCTTTTGGCTCTGTTTAGCAAGCCTGGGTTACTCTGTATCCTGTACCGGACGGATTTCCTGCAGTCGGGATTAGGAACTGCAGATGTGCATTGTTTCTCATGCAACCTCTCCTCAAACCCACGTGCTTTGTGCGTTTAGCTGAGGGAGAAAACTCTTAGCCCTTTATTTTTGTCACATATAATCATATAAATATGAAAGAAACAGCATATAGTCCGATAGTGAGTGATACTGAGAAAACGTCTCCACCCATTTGACATTCACATGGACACAGTGTCATCATTCAGTCTTACTGTAAAACACAATGGCTGAATCATATTTCTGACATCGTTATGGATATACTACGGGTTAAGGGATTGTGAATAAAAAAAATGAAAAATTATTAAAAAAGAATTATCATTCAAATTATAGCAAAGCATGTGGGTTTGGAAGGTGTAACGTTAGGTTTAACGTTAGAGACTGACAGTCTCGCCATTCACTTTCAACACTTATTATTTCCATATAATGAAAGTAAAAGGTGACAAAGGGTATCGTTCTACCTGGTATCTCGTTTGTATTCACAAAAGAAAGTCCTTTGGGTGAGTAAATGACAAAAATATTCATCTTTTAGGTACACTATCCCTTTAATCTCTACTTAAATGATAGGAGTTTCTTAGTCAGACTATTGGTCTTACCTTCACAAAAAGCTCGATGACGGCTTCGTTATCCCCCTTCACACCGTTTTGAGGTACCGAGAGAGACATCCCGAACTTCTGCCTTTATACGGACACGTTCACAACAACAAACCTCGATTTCTTCACCTTGGCACAAAAAGTTTTCCTTTCACGCCTCCCTCTTTCTCGAACCGAGTTTATCGAACAAAAATATCACTCTGTGTTTTTTCCAAGCGCAACCGAAATACAGAGAGTCCGATGAAATCAAGTAACGTTACGTTAATGAGCTTTTCCACGAGATTCTACTAAGTTACCTAGAAACACATCACTGAGAAAACCCGACAGAGTCCGCTATGTCTCCTCCTCAACTGCTCTCTCAGGATGGCGACGAAGAGGGGGAAAAATCAACGGGAGTATTTAAGGCGGTGATGTCATGCGCAGTGGACTGAACGGGCGCGAGCCGAATCGGTACCGTGACGCGTGCACAAGAACTAGAGCTTCCTGAATGTTTTTTCTGTTGAATTTATATAGAAAAATCATCTGCCTTTTATTTTAATACTCATATATTGTTACAGAGAAAGCTTTTAACAACATAGATAATAGAAAAGTAAATCAGTTTCTGCTAACGAGTTTACCTAGTATGTAAGCCTATATTTTAACCTAACAATTTTTTACAGAATTGTTAAATATGGTATTTTGGCAGAAACTGTTTAACGTGTAGGCCTATTTCTTGGTTATATTTTTAATTCTTCACAGCGAGTCGAATCTTTTGTTCCTTATCCGTTTAATTACCTTTTCTATACAATTTCAATATACCAGTAGCATATTAGGCTACATACCCATATAATATAGCGACAATTAAAATAATCAGTGACAAGTTAATTAAAAACTTGCCTGAAATCACTGAAAAGAGCCACACAGCATCTGATCACTGGATTTACAGAAATCATTTAACTTTTAATAAGTGTTTTCTCCACATTGCATATCTAATCAGCATTAGTTTACTTTAATTATTGAGTCATCACTCAGTGAGTCATTTAATGTATTACTACTTTTATAGGAGAATTTGTATTTCAAACACATTAAAATGTTTTCACAATTTCACATTGACATGCAATGCAGGGATTCCCCAACTTTTTTGTCAGCTGAACTTCTTTGCCCTAATATATGTAAGCCCTTAGATTTTAAGTTAATAAGTTAGATCAATAATAAAAATAAGTCAATAATAATACATGTTCATGGTTCTCTGGTTAATGGTCACATGACGTGCAGGTAAAAATTTAGAAAATATATTTTTTAGTAAATGTTTTTATTTTAATTATTTTATTTTTTAATTCTTATGATTTAATTACTTGATAGCTTTCCATTAAAATCACAAACCCCAGTGTGTGAAACCCTGACCTAATGTAATATTTAAGGCATTTCATATTGTTGCTAACAAAGAATGGAATATATTTTCATTCTCTTTGTATTTTTATATCAATATGGTACAAGATTATCCTATTCAAATCAATGCGATAAACGAGTTAGGTTAAAAGTAATCAAAAAGTAGTCAGAATACATCACTTAAAATGAACAATCTAGATTACCAACGACAATTTTTGTCATGTAATTTGGAATCAGTAACTGACAACAATTTGTAAGTAATCTACCACGCACTGTGTGTGTATGTATACATAACATTTCTTCCAATTTCAAATAAATATATTGTCATTTAGAGCATTTATTTGGAGAAAATGACAACTGGTCAAAATAAAAAAAAAGATGCCATGTTTTCAGACCTCGAATAATGCAAAGAAAACAAGTATACATTCATTTTTAAACACAATACTAATGTTTTAACTTAGGAATAGTCAACTTAAGTTAACCTAATGTTTTAACATAAGATGAATCAATATTTGGTGGAATAACCCTGATCTCCAATCACAGCTTTCATGCGTCTTGGCATACTCACTATCAGTCAGTCACATTGCTGTTGGGTGACTTTATGCCACTCCTGGCGGAAAAATTCAAGCAGCTTGGCTTTATTTAATGGCTGGTGACTCTCTAGCTTACTCTTGAAGGACCACCAGATCAAAACCGTCATGGCCATCACAATCTCCAGACCTGAACCCCACAGAAAACCTCTGGAATGTAAGCAAGAGAGTCACCAGCCATTCAATAAAGCCAAGCTGCTTGAATTTTTCCACCAGGAGTGGCATAAAGTCTCCCGACAGCAATGTGACTGACTGATAGGGAGCATGCCAAGACGCATGAAAGCTGTGATTGGAAATCAGGGTTATTCCACCAAATATTGCTTCAAAATATTGAATATTGCTTCAAATATTGACGTTAAAATATTAGTGTTGTGTATAGATGTCCCAAAACCACAATGGGAAAAGAAAATGTTCTTTTTTTTTTATCCATAAACCAATGACCAATGGTATCCAGCATTTGTCCTACAGAAGAGACATATAAGTTTGGAACGACAAAGGGGAGTAAATGACAACAGAATTTTTATTTTTGGGTAAACTATCCCTAAGATGTTTTTTTTGTTATTAACAATGATCTGCCACCACACTGCAGAAGAAACAGCTGTTTCAGAAACACAGCTCTCCATTACTTAAACTGACCTCTAGAGACAGTGTAAAGACCATGGTAAAGACAGACCTCATGTTTATCTCTTAAACACCTATGTATTCCCACAGCAGCCTGCAGTTAGGAAGCAGGTGGCACTATAAAATAACAACCAGGGCATAAACACTGTTGCCTTGGTCTGTTTTTTGCAGATCAGTCCTCATTAACCACATTACACAGTAAGAACTCACTGAGCTTTCATCTGTGGCCGCTTACGATTTCTCCCCAAGTGTTGCCAAGGTGACAACATGTGTCATCACCAGACCTGGGACGCCACAGGCTTTCCACAGAACCATGGACTAGCAAACATATGTAAAATAGCCTTACATGCAAAACAGCCTTTGCATACATTACATCCAAAATGTAATGTATGTAATTCTGTTTGAAACCAATTGTCACCATACTGGTTTGGTTTAAAAGGAAACAAATCAAATTGAGGATATGAACAATTATACAACTCAAAGAAAAGGAATTGAGACAAAAATATTTTCTTTCATTTTAATGTGACTGTTCAAAGCCAGAAATTACTGCAGGGATCAACAATTCCAAACACAACTTAGGTTACAAAAAATATAAAGCAAAAATAAAGAATGAAAACAGACTTTTCTAATTTGTTCTCATGTGCACAGTAGAGCTCTGGAGCATTGCCACAATGCTCAGATGAACAGAGAGCAGCCTGCTGGATCAGCTCTCTGGGTGTTTTAGTTTATGGATCATGCACACTAGAGGACAAACACGCTCGGGTCTGCCGTCCATGCAAACAAAACGCTCGTAAAAAGTCCTGCTGAAGTGAAGCGAGAATCCATAGGCCAACTTGTACATTGTTAACTCAGAACAGCAAATAAGCTTGCTTCATCATGACCATAAAAGCAACAGGAATCATGAAGAGGGCTTGGGGACTAAAAAAAGGTTTGTTTTTGGATAAACAGTCGTTGACAGTATTTAAGGTTGGAGAAGGACAAATTCTGATCAAGAAGCTTCAGCTGCTCAATCATTTTCACATCATAAAACTCCTCAGCAATAAACATTCCCAAAAAAATCCAAACAAACAAAAGTCTAGGGTGAATTTTAACAATTTGTACATTCTAAAGCTGAACCAACATCAAACATTTAAAATGCAGAGAGTGGAAGAAAAAGAGGGAAATGTAGGGTGTGGTAGATATTCCCTCAGGACTGAGATGGAGACATCTGGGCCTTCCTCATTGAGCGGAGAGCTTTCTCACGTAGGTGCTTCTCCAGATCATCCAAACTGTCTTCTACTTCACTCTCTGATTCCTTCAGGAAAGGTAGCATTAATTATGTCTGACTCAAGCATAACAACAAATATGCTTAGGCTTTTACCTTACATAGAACTTGTATACGCATGGTAAAAATGGAGAGACACTTCATATTACTGGACAATTTTATTCTCACTGTACAGACAGCTTTAAAAGTGTAACTTCACCTTTTTCTGGTCAGAGTCTGGCTCTGCTTCCTGTCCGTGTGCTCCTGCCACCCCTCCGCTCTTTTCTTCTCCACTCTTCTCCTTCTTCTGTTTCTTATGCTTCTTGTGTTTTTTCTCTTTCTTGTGTTTCTTCTCTTTCTTCTTTTTCTTCTTCTTACCACCTTCTACATCTGAGTTCTACAGAACAAACAAAGAGAAAAAGTTGAGACACCCTTTTGGCATTAATCCTAAATACGGTAGTTTTAGGATCCATTTCTAAAAAAGAACAGCTGAAGTCTGGAAACTAAAACCAAATACAAATTTGGTTTTAGAAGCCTCAAAGCTCTCTGGACCCAAGCTTGGGCAGGTGTGGCATACCTTGTTAGGTGATGGGCTCGGGGAGACACTGCTGTTCTTTTTGGCAGGTGGAGGTGGAGAACGGCTCGCAGAGCGAGAGGGTGAGACTGAAGCAGGTCGCTTGTGAGCCGTGGGAGGAGGAGGAGGAGGAGGAGAAGCAGATGGTGAATGTGAAACCTGTCTCCTTACAGGCTGGGGGCTCTGAGAACCTCTACAAATGGACAGGAAGAGAGTCATTCAGAGATTGTTCATCTGTTACACAAATAGAAGCGGAGCTATAGAAAAACGTACCTCTGAGATTTGCGTGGTTCTGGTGTGCGGGAAACCCTGCGAATGGGTCTGGTGCTGTGAGACGGGGACGTCTGACGTCTTTGTCTCTGCGGGGATAAACTCGAGGGTCCGTATCGAGCCGGAGGACTGGAAGACACTCGAGTAGCATGGGCAGGGGGAGAGGAGCGGGCATCTCTGCCCCGTTGGGCTGCAGAGGGATTTGGAGAGCTTCTACGGTGGCGGGGTGGAGGCGAAGCAGAAGTGGGCGGAGTACGTCTTTTTCCTGGACTACTGCCACGGTTCCGTTTGGGGGATCGAGAGGAGCGACGTTTGGCCAAAGGGGAGGGCGATCCTCTACGCTTCGCCACTGGTGAGAGAGATGCCCTGCGCTTGGTCACTGGCGAAGGAGATGCCCTGCGCTTGGCCACTGGCGAGGGAGACACTCTGCGTTTGGACATAGGTGAAGGAGACCCTCTATGCTTGGACACAGGTGATGGAGACCCTCTGCGTTTGGACATGGGTGAAGGAGAACCTCTGCGTTTTGAAACGGGTGAAGGAGACCCTCTCCTCTTGGACAAGGGTGAAGGAGAACCTCTGCGTTTTGAAACGGGTGAAAGAGATCCTCTCCTCTTGGACACAGGTGAAGGAGACCCTCTATTCTTGGATACAGGGGATGGAGACCTTCTACGCTTGGGAGGAGACCCTGATGAGCGTCTTTTTTGAGCTGGGGGAGGGGAGGGACTGTATCTGCGCTGGATGGGAGGAGTGAAACGCCGATGAGGTGGAGATGGAGATCTGAAAAAGGAGGGACAGAATAAAGGGATGAATACCCACAGCAGGTCAAAGAGTCTTCACAACCCAAAACCATAAATTCAGCTGGATTTTACCTGCGCCTTGGGGGAGGAGAGGGTGACCTGCGGCGGCGAACAGGAGACGGTGAACGATGTCTACGGCCAGCAGGTGATGGAGAACGTCTCTTTCTTTAAACAGAGAAAGGGAGTCTAAACTCAGGGTCTGATAGTAATAAAGCATCTCTCAGTTGAGTAAACCACGGGGCTGGGTATCGACTCATCGACTTTGTCTTGTGTTTGGCGAAGCTTCTGTTTACCGTTTTTGATGTGCTTCATCTATGTGTTTATCTATGTTTAAATGTGAATTACAATTCAAAGTAGTTTGCGCACCTCCTAAAAAATTTTTTTTATTATTATCCTAAAGTGAACAAAGCATCTTAGTAGTGACCTTAAGGGAGTATCACATGTCAGATGCAAATGTCATTCAAATATTGTTGATTTTCACCTTGGGGATACATCTCTGTGTCGCCTCCGTGGTGATGCAGGTGAATGGCTCCGCCGCCTTCTGATTTCTCCATTCCTGGCACCTGCCCCTCTATTTTGCCTCCTTGGACCTTCATCTTCAGAGGAAGAGGATGAACCAGTGTCTATAAGCAACAACAACAACAAAAAAATCCATATTCAACACAACTTGAAGGTACAAGCACAGGTCTGAGAGGAATAGAGAGGGGAAGTGAGGAGACGAGTGTGATGGAAATAAGAAACAGTGATAACCTGAAGAGGACTGCTGATTCTGTCTCCGATACTGACGACGCTGCTGGACAGAATCTGCTGTTGACCCTTTGCCCACCTTCTCCTCTTCTGTAACACAAAGCAGTGGAGTCCTTCAGTGCCCGAGAAACACCCACGTGTCCACCAACACAGAGTAATGATGTGCAAAAACACACAGCCACACACACACACCCAACACATGCACCCTCCCCTCATCTTTGAAATGAACAGAAGAGACAGAATCCAAAACATGTTATTAGTAGGGCTGTACTGTCCCAGTCGATTAATTGGTCGATACGTTCTGGTTCGACCAAAATTCTGATAGGTCGATTTTTTGCCGTGTTCATTTTATCAGTTTTGCCACGCTCATTTCATCAGGCGGAAAGCACTAACTGCTAATGGGGGTGTTTTCAGAGTACCCCTGTTTCACAGGTAACAGTCTGTCTTCAGAACACCCCCCTTTTTTTCATTTTTTTTGGATTAGGCCAACCCACTGGAGAAGAGAGACAGATAAGTAGGCTATAGAAGGTTTAATGCTGAATATTATTTATTTAATTGTGAGAGGGTTTAATAGTCCAGGGGTTCCCAAACCTTTCCATTCCAGGACCCACGTAGACAAGAATAATCTATCTCAAGACCCACCAAAATAATTTTAAAGGATGAATGTGGGGTGGGAGGCGTTAATTCTCTTTAGAGCAGGTTTTTTTCCTTGTCATAGTATGACATGTTTAATTGCAATACAAACTTATGGTGCATTATCAAAAAGTTTGAGGATTAAAATAGCCTAATGGCTGTTGAAATAATGTGAAGAATACTGAGTAGTTTTTGTCTGCTGCCTCAACTGATTTACCCAAACATGGCAAAACAAATTTAAAGAAATGAAAAAGATTAAGTAGCTAAGCTTAATCTTAACCAAAGGTTTGATATGACAAAAAATCTGAATATAAAAAAAATAATAGACTAATAATTTTATTTGACAGTATGCGATCAATTGGGAACGATACTTCTGGGAAACGCAGCCCAGAATCAGCCTTTCGTGACATTTGAATTCTCCGGTGTAATGCGATCTCATGCAGAATGCAGTGCAGTGATTGGAGTAATGGAGTTTCTTCTCGTTAATAATGCGCACCAAACAGCTTAATGAACCGAAGCCGCTCTGAGACGGTGAAAATTATCACAACAAATCGCACGCACGCGCTTCATGAAACACAATACTGACATATTTATCTAACTTTAAATCGCTCTAAGCAATATAGCGATTTCTATTTAACGTTGGTTCATCGTGCAACCTGTTTGTATGCGTCACTCATGAAACGTAAATTCAGCTGCAGGCAATATAGTGATTGTGCGACCCACCTCTTCCCAATCTGCGACCCACAAATGTGTCGCGACCCACAGTTTGAAAACCCCTGTAATAGTCAACAAAGACATCAACAGTGTGGCAGCATTTTGTTAAAATTGATAACGGGAAAAAGGTTGAATGCAAAGTTTGCAAGCAACAGTTTTGCCTTCCACAGCTCGACGACAAAAATGACATATCTAAAAGCGGTAAGCTAACTTGTCTGCGTTAGGTTGCCCTGTCTGTTTTGAGTAACGTTAGGCTATATGAAGATTTCAGAATTGGCATATCAGTTATGCACTTTATTTTGTTTCTGCTCTTGATCTGGTTTGTTTAATAAATATTCTTTTTTATTAAAGTAGACGTGCCTTTTGTGTTTAAGAGTAAAAGCTTTAAGTTAATAGTCTATTCGTGTCTCAGCCACGAAGCTGAGCTCCTATGTTCATGCGAGGACATGCACAGAGCGGCTGAAATGATAGTGTCTGACAGTTAGGGCTGTCAACTTTAGTCGTTTAGTCGACTAATCGGTCAATGCCGTCTTGGTCGACTGACATTCTCATTGGTCGACCAGTTGCATATTTATTTATTTATTTATTTATTTTTTACCAATAGAAAGAAATTTTCATTGATTTACTCCTTGATATTTTTTCCTTTATAAGCAGTTATATATTACTGTATTCTAAATATAATTAGCCTATGTTTTATCCCCAACTTTAAATGCTGTAATTTAGGCTATTTTGTAACGGCGCCACAGTTTAGCGCACCACGTAGAACACTCGGGAACCGCACCTGAGGCTGCACTGCTGCTGCGGCGCGGACACGCTTGAAAAAAATGAGCGCGTCGCTTCCATTATGAGCGCGCATACCGCGCGCCTACATTTGAAATAACGAACTTGAGCGCGCAAAAGACGCGATGCGAGCAGGCCCTTTAACGGCTTTATTATGCTGACTCAATAGATTGTTTTCTCTTATGTTTTTATGTTTTTTTGTACACTTGACGCGTTTGAAAATAGCCTAAATAATGTAACAAAACGAAAATAAACCTATATGCCTTCCTACTATACAGCCTATTATTATTAGGATTGTTTTTAAGCTATTTGGGTTTGTGTGTTTGTTTTAAAACGCCTAGATCGGCTGGACAAAAGTTAACCCATAGCTTTGAAAGTAAAGAAGAATATACAGCCTGTATAAACGATAAGCTTTTGTTAGGATTTTTCATTATTTGGCAGTTTTAGCAGTTATATTTTTTGTAGCGTGTGGTGTGGTCAGGTGCGCGATTGTGACTGTCACTATAGACCTAGGACAGAGCTCCTCACTTTGCAGTTAAAAAAAAATCACTTAATTTTCAAAGAATTGTATTATTATAGTTTTATGTATTATTGATGTTTTTTCGTTCTTGTTTTATAAATGCTCTATGACAATTGTTTAATAAATGTTCAATCAAAATTCAAAACATCGCGTCTTTTTTTTTTTTTGTCGACTGATCGTTGCACAGGACAGGACTTTGGTCGACTGAGGATTTCTTTGGTTGACTACAGCCCTACTGACAGTTATAACTTATTATTATAACATATGATAAAAAGAATTGTCTAAATTATGTTGCATATTCCTCAACAGTTCTTGTGATATCACTAGTTGACAACATAGCCTATGATTTCCGAAAATAGTACTATGATATTGCGCAGTTGCACGTGCTGCAACGCTGTCAGAGCCGACAGACTCGTGTGTCAGACTCATTTCAGTGCAAAATAATTAGGTCAAAAACCATTTAATATACTGCAAATAGCCTAATAGTTTTTTATGTTTATTTATAATTCATTTAGGCGGACAACAAGGCTACCAAGTACTGCACACAGTGTGCAGCTAATTAATTTAACGTTTTTTTTTCCTAACGTAATTTTTAGTCGAAAATTTCAGGATTTCAATAGACCAAGATTTTCTTTGGTTGAGTACAGCCCTAGTTATTAGAAGTATAACAACAGGCCAGACAGACAGGGTTCTGCCTAAAAGTCTCTAAACCTTTCTGATATGCACACAAACGCATGTTTAGGAGCCAAATCTCACCAGACTCTGATGCATCAGACCGTCTGGGTTTTGGAGAAGGAGTGTCATTTCTTCCACCAGGCCTGTGCTTCACAGCTGAAATTTTCACATGTATTTCAGTCAGAATCATTTTTACTGCTTATTATCTTACAAAAAATATGGTGCTGACAAGGAACCATTTCAGATTAAAAATAAAAAAAATAAAAAAAGACTATACTCGGGAGTTATTCAAAGCATTTCAAATAACAATATTGACTTCTAGGAAACAACCTGAAGGGCTGGTGTCTGGTCCTGAAGGACTGCGGCCTCGTCTTCTGGAGGGGCTGACGGGGTCTAAGCGGCGTGGAAGTTTTCTGGGCGGTGTAGCTGACCTACGCTTCCCTGCTCTCTTATGGGGTGACCGAGAGGAGGAGCTGCCTGTGGAGGACCGGGAGCGAGAGCTTTTTCCCCAACTTTTTTGTCAGCTGAACTTCTTTGCCCTAATATATGTAAGCCCTTAGATTTTAAGTTAATAAGTTAGATCAATAATAAAAATAAGTCAATAATAATACATGTTCATGGTTCTCTGGTTAATGGTCACATGACGTGCAGGTAAAAATTTAGAAAATATATTTTTTAGTAAATGTTTTTATTTTAATTATTTTATTTTTTAATTCTTATGATTTAATTACTTGATAGCTTTCCATTAAAATCACAAACCCCAGTGTGTGAAACCCTGACCTAATGTAATATTTAAGGCATTTCATATTGTTGCTAACAAAGAATGGAATATATTTTCATTCTCTTTGTATTTTTATATCAATATGGTACAAGATTATCCTATTCAAATCAATGCGATAAACGAGTTAGGTTAAAAGTAATCAAAAAGTAGTCAGAATACATCACTTAAAATGAACAATCTAGATTACCAACGACAATTTTTGTCATGTAATTTGGAATCAGTAACTGACAACAATTTGTAAGTAATCTACCACGCACTGTGTGTGTATGTATACATAACATTTCTTCCAATTTCAAATAAATATATTGTCATTTAGAGCATTTATTTGGAGAAAATGACAACTGGTCAAAATAAAAAAAAAGATGCCATGTTTTCAGACCTCGAATAATGCAAAGAAAACAAGTATACATTCATTTTTAAACACAATACTAATGTTTTAACTTAGGAATAGTCAACTTAAGTTAACCTAATGTTTTAACATAAGATGAATCAATATTTGGTGGAATAACCCTGATCTCCAATCACAGCTTTCATGCGTCTTGGCATACTCACTATCAGTCAGTCACATTGCTGTTGGGTGACTTTATGCCACTCCTGGCGGAAAAATTCAAGCAGCTTGGCTTTATTTAATGGCTGGTGACTCTCTAGCTTACTCTTGAAGGACCACCAGATCAAAACCGTCATGGCCATCACAATCTCCAGACCTGAACCCCACAGAAAACCTCTGGAATGTAAGCAAGAGAGTCACCAGCCATTCAATAAAGCCAAGCTGCTTGAATTTTTCCACCAGGAGTGGCATAAAGTCTCCCGACAGCAATGTGACTGACTGATAGGGAGCATGCCAAGACGCATGAAAGCTGTGATTGGAAATCAGGGTTATTCCACCAAATATTGCTTCAAAATATTGAATATTGCTTCAAATATTGACGTTAAAATATTAGTGTTGTGTATAGATGTCCCAAAACCACAATGGGAAAAGAAAATGTTCTTTTTTTTTTATCCATAAACCAATGACCAATGGTATCCAGCATTTGTCCTACAGAAGAGACATATAAGTTTGGAACGACAAAGGGGAGTAAATGACAACAGAATTTTTATTTTTGGGTAAACTATCCCTAAGATGTTTTTTTTGTTATTAACAATGATCTGCCACCACACTGCAGAAGAAACAGCTGTTTCAGAAACACAGCTCTCCATTACTTAAACTGACCTCTAGAGACAGTGTAAAGACCATGGTAAAGACAGACCTCATGTTTATCTCTTAAACACCTATGTATTCCCACAGCAGCCTGCAGTTAGGAAGCAGGTGGCACTATAAAATAACAACCAGGGCATAAACACTGTTGCCTTGGTCTGTTTTTTGCAGATCAGTCCTCATTAACCACATTACACAGTAAGAACTCACTGAGCTTTCATCTGTGGCCGCTTACGATTTCTCCCCAAGTGTTGCCAAGGTGACAACATGTGTCATCACCAGACCTGGGACGCCACAGGCTTTCCACAGAACCATGGACTAGCAAACATATGTAAAATAGCCTTACATGCAAAACAGCCTTTGCATACATTACATCCAAAATGTAATGTATGTAATTCTGTTTGAAACCAATTGTCACCATACTGGTTTGGTTTAAAAGGAAACAAATCAAATTGAGGATATGAACAATTATACAACTCAAAGAAAAGGAATTGAGACAAAAATATTTTCTTTCATTTTAATGTGACTGTTCAAAGCCAGAAATTACTGCAGGGATCAACAATTCCAAACACAACTTAGGTTACAAAAAATATAAAGCAAAAATAAAGAATGAAAACAGACTTTTCTAATTTGTTCTCATGTGCACAGTAGAGCTCTGGAGCATTGCCACAATGCTCAGATGAACAGAGAGCAGCCTGCTGGATCAGCTCTCTGGGTGTTTTAGTTTATGGATCATGCACACTAGAGGACAAACACGCTCGGGTCTGCCGTCCATGCAAACAAAACGCTCGTAAAAAGTCCTGCTGAAGTGAAGCGAGAATCCATAGGCCAACTTGTACATTGTTAACTCAGAACAGCAAATAAGCTTGCTTCATCATGACCATAAAAGCAACAGGAATCATGAAGAGGGCTTGGGGACTAAAAAAAGGTTTGTTTTTGGATAAACAGTCGTTGACAGTATTTAAGGTTGGAGAAGGACAAATTCTGATCAAGAAGCTTCAGCTGCTCAATCATTTTCACATCATAAAACTCCTCAGCAATAAACATTCCCAAAAAAATCCAAACAAACAAAAGTCTAGGGTGAATTTTAACAATTTGTACATTCTAAAGCTGAACCAACATCAAACATTTAAAATGCAGAGAGTGGAAGAAAAAGAGGGAAATGTAGGGTGTGGTAGATATTCCCTCAGGACTGAGATGGAGACATCTGGGCCTTCCTCATTGAGCGGAGAGCTTTCTCACGTAGGTGCTTCTCCAGATCATCCAAACTGTCTTCTACTTCACTCTCTGATTCCTTCAGGAAAGGTAGCATTAATTATGTCTGACTCAAGCATAACAACAAATATGCTTAGGCTTTTACCTTACATAGAACTTGTATACGCATGGTAAAAATGGAGAGACACTTCATATTACTGGACAATTTTATTCTCACTGTACAGACAGCTTTAAAAGTGTAACTTCACCTTTTTCTGGTCAGAGTCTGGCTCTGCTTCCTGTCCGTGTGCTCCTGCCACCCCTCCGCTCTTTTCTTCTCCACTCTTCTCCTTCTTCTGTTTCTTATGCTTCTTGTGTTTTTTCTCTTTCTTGTGTTTCTTCTCTTTCTTCTTTTTCTTCTTCTTACCACCTTCTACATCTGAGTTCTACAGAACAAACAAAGAGAAAAAGTTGAGACACCCTTTTGGCATTAATCCTAAATACGGTAGTTTTAGGATCCATTTCTAAAAAAGAACAGCTGAAGTCTGGAAACTAAAACCAAATACAAATTTGGTTTTAGAAGCCTCAAAGCTCTCTGGACCCAAGCTTGGGCAGGTGTGGCATACCTTGTTAGGTGATGGGCTCGGGGAGACACTGCTGTTCTTTTTGGCAGGTGGAGGTGGAGAACGGCTCGCAGAGCGAGAGGGTGAGACTGAAGCAGGTCGCTTGTGAGCCGTGGGAGGAGGAGGAGGAGGAGGAGAAGCAGATGGTGAATGTGAAACCTGTCTCCTTACAGGCTGGGGGCTCTGAGAACCTCTACAAATGGACAGGAAGAGAGTCATTCAGAGATTGTTCATCTGTTACACAAATAGAAGCGGAGCTATAGAAAAACGTACCTCTGAGATTTGCGTGGTTCTGGTGTGCGGGAAACCCTGCGAATGGGTCTGGTGCTGTGAGACGGGGACGTCTGACGTCTTTGTCTCTGCGGGGATAAACTCGAGGGTCCGTATCGAGCCGGAGGACTGGAAGACACTCGAGTAGCATGGGCAGGGGGAGAGGAGCGGGCATCTCTGCCCCGTTGGGCTGCAGAGGGATTTGGAGAGCTTCTACGGTGGCGGGGTGGAGGCGAAGCAGAAGTGGGCGGAGTACGTCTTTTTCCTGGACTACTGCCACGGTTCCGTTTGGGGGATCGAGAGGAGCGACGTTTGGCCAAAGGGGAGGGCGATCCTCTACGCTTCGCCACTGGTGAGAGAGATGCCCTGCGCTTGGTCACTGGCGAAGGAGATGCCCTGCGCTTGGCCACTGGCGAGGGAGACGCTCTGCGTTTGGACATAGGTGAAGGAGACCCTCTATGCTTGGACACAGGTGATGGAGACCCTCTGCGTTTGGACATGGGTGAAGGAGAACCTCTGCGTTTTGAAACGGGTGAAGGAGACCCTCTCCTCTTGGACAAGGGTGAAGGAGAACCTCTGCGTTTTGAAACGGGTGAAAGAGATCCTCTCCTCTTGGACACAGGTGAAGGAGACCCTCTATTCTTGGATACAGGGGATGGAGACCTTCTACGCTTGGGAGGAGACCCTGATGAGCGTCTTTTTTGAGCTGGGGGAGGGGAGGGACTGTATCTGCGCTGGATGGGAGGAGTGAAACGCCGATGAGGTGGAGATGGAGATCTGAAAAAGGAGGGACAGAATAAAGGGATGAATACCCACAGCAGGTCAAAGAGTCTTCACAACCCAAAACCATAAATTCAGCTGGATTTTACCTGCGCCTTGGGGGAGGAGAGGGTGACCTGCGGCGGCGAACAGGAGACGGTGAACGATGTCTACGGCCAGCAGGTGATGGAGAACGTCTCTTTCTTTAAACAGAGAAAGGGAGTCTAAACTCAGGGTCTGATAGTAATAAAGCATCTCTCAGTTGAGTAAACCACGGGGCTGGGTATCGACTCATCGACTTTGTCTTGTGTTTGGCGAAGCTTCTGTTTACCGTTTTTGATGTGCTTCATCTATGTGTTTATCTATGTTTAAATGTGAATTACAATTCAAAGTAGTTTGCGCACCTCCTAAAAAAATTTTTTTATTATTATCCTAAAGTGAACAAAGCATCTTAGTAGTGACCTTAAGGGAGTATCACATGTCAGATGCAAATGTCATTCAAATATTGTTGATTTTCACCTTGGGGATACATCTCTGTGTCGCCTCCGTGGTGATGCAGGTGAATGGCTCCGCCGCCTTCTGATTTCTCCATTCCTGGCACCTGCCCCTCTATTTTGCCTCCTTGGACCTTCATCTTCAGAGGAAGAGGATGAACCAGTGTCTATAAGCAACAACAACAACAAAAAAATCCATATTCAACACAACTTGAAGGTACAAGCACAGGTCTGAGAGGAATAGAGAGGGGAAGTGAGGAGACGAGTGTGATGGAAATAAGAAACAGTGATAACCTGAAGAGGACTGCTGATTCTGTCTCCGATACTGACGACGCTGCTGGACAGAATCTGCTGTTGACCCTTTGCCCACCTTCTCCTCTTCTGTAACACAAAGCAGTGGAGTCCTTCAGTGCCCGAGAAACACCCACGTGTCCACCAACACAGAGTAATGATGTGCAAAAACACACAGCCACACACACACACCCAACACATGCACCCTCCCCTCATCTTTGAAATGAACAGAAGAGACAGAATCCAAAACATGTTATTAGTAGGGCTGTACTGTCCCAGTCGATTAATTGGTCGATACGTTCTGGTTCGACCAAAATTCTGATAGGTCGATTTTTTGCCGTGTTCATTTTATCAGTTTTGCCACGCTCATTTCATCAGGCGGAAAGCACTAACTGCTAATGGGGGTGTTTTCAGAGTACCCCTGTTTCACAGGTAACAGTCTGTCTTCAGAACACCCCCCTTTTTTTCATTTTTTTTGGATTAGGCCAACCCACTGGAGAAGAGAGACAGATAAGTAGGCTATAGAAGGTTTAATGCTGAATATTATTTATTTAATTGTGAGAGGGTTTAATAGTCCAGGGGTTCCCAAACCTTTCCATTCCAGGACCCACGTAGACAAGAATAATCTATCTCAAGACCCACCAAAATAATTTTAAAGGATGAATGTGGGGTGGGAGGCGTTAATTCTCTTTAGAGCAGGTTTTTTTCCTTGTCATAGTATGACATGTTTAATTGCAATACAAACTTATGGTGCATTATCAAAAAGTTTGAGGATTAAAATAGCCTAATGGCTGTTGAAATAATGTGAAGAATACTGAGTAGTTTTTGTCTGCTGCCTCAACTGATTTACCCAAACATGGCAAAACAAATTTAAAGAAATGAAAAAGATTAAGTAGCTAAGCTTAATCTTAACCAAAGGTTTGATATGACAAAAAATCTGAATATAAAAAAAATAATAGACTAATAATTTTATTTGACAGTATGCGATCAATTGGGAACGATACTTCTGGGAAACGCAGCCCAGAATCAGCCTTTCGTGACATTTGAATTCTCCGGTGTAATGCGATCTCATGCAGAATGCAGTGCAGTGATTGGAGTAATGGAGTTTCTTCTCGTTAATAATGCGCACCAAACAGCTTAATGAACCGAAGCCGCTCTGAGACGGTGAAAATTATCACAACAAATCGCACGCACGCGCTTCATGAAACACAATACTGACATATTTATCTAACTTTAAATCGCTCTAAGCAATATAGCGATTTCTATTTAACGTTGGTTCATCGTGCAACCTGTTTGTATGCGTCACTCATGAAACGTAAATTCAGCTGCAGGCAATATAGTGATTGTGCGACCCACCTCTTCCCAATCTGCGACCCACAAATGTGTCGCGACCCACAGTTTGAAAACCCCTGTAATAGTCAACAAAGACATCAACAGTGTGGCAGCATTTTGTTAAAATTGATAACGGGAAAAAGGTTGAATGCAAAGTTTGCAAGCAACAGTTTTGCCTTCCACAGCTCGACGACAAAAATGACATATCTAAAAGCGGTAAGCTAACTTGTCTGCGTTAGGTTGCCCTGTCTGTTTTGAGTAACGTTAGGCTATATGAAGATTTCAGAATTGGCATATCAGTTATGCACTTTATTTTGTTTCTGCTCTTGATCTGGTTTGTTTAATAAATATTCTTTTTTATTAAAGTAGACGTGCCTTTTGTGTTTAAGAGTAAAAGCTTTAAGTTAATAGTCTATTCGTGTCTCAGCCACGAAGCTGAGCTCCTATGTTCATGCGAGGACATGCACAGAGCGGCTGAAATGATAGTGTCTGACAGTTAGGGCTGTCAACTTTAGTCGTTTAGTCGACTAATCGGTCAATGCCGTCTTGGTCGACTGACATTCTCATTGGTCGACCAGTTGCATATTTATTTATTTATTTATTTATTTTTTACCAATAGAAAGAAATTTTCATTGATTTACTCCTTGATATTTTTTCCTTTATAAGCAGTTATATATTACTGTATTCTAAATATAATTAGCCTATGTTTTATCCCCAACTTTAAATGCTGTAATTTAGGCTATTTTGTAACGGCGCCACAGTTTAGCGCACCACGTAGAACACTCGGGAACCGCACCTGAGGCTGCACTGCTGCTGCGGCGCGGACACGCTTGAAAAAAATGAGCGCGTCGCTTCCATTATGAGCGCGCATACCGCGCGCCTACATTTGAAATAACGAACTTGAGCGCGCAAAAGACGCGATGCGAGCAGGCCCTTTAACGGCTTTATTATGCTGACTCAATAGATTGTTTTCTCTTATGTTTTTATGTTTTTTTGTACACTTGACGCGTTTGAAAATAGCCTAAATAATGTAACAAAACGAAAATAAACCTATATGCCTTCCTACTATACAGCCTATTATTATTAGGATTGTTTTTAAGCTATTTGGGTTTGTGTGTTTGTTTTAAAACGCCTAGATCGGCTGGACAAAAGTTAACCCATAGCTTTGAAAGTAAAGAAGAATATACAGCCTGTATAAACGATAAGCTTTTGTTAGGATTTTTCATTATTTGGCAGTTTTAGCAGTTATATTTTTTGTAGCGTGTGGTGTGGTCAGGTGCGCGATTGTGACTGTCACTATAGACCTAGGACAGAGCTCCTCACTTTGCAGTTAAAAAAAAATCACTTAATTTTCAAAGAATTGTATTATTATAGTTTTATGTATTATTGATGTTTTTTCGTTCTTGTTTTATAAATGCTCTATGACAATTGTTTAATAAATGTTCAATCAAAATTCAAAACATCGCGTCTTTTTTTTTTTTTGTCGACTGATCGTTGCACAGGACAGGACTTTGGTCGACTGAGGATTTCTTTGGTTGACTACAGCCCTACTGACAGTTATAACTTATTATTATAACATATGATAAAAAGAATTGTCTAAATTATGTTGCATATTCCTCAACAGTTCTTGTGATATCACTAGTTGACAACATAGCCTATGATTTCCGAAAATAGTACTATGATATTGCGCAGTTGCACGTGCTGCAACGCTGTCAGAGCCGACAGACTCGTGTGTCAGACTCATTTCAGTGCAAAATAATTAGGTCAAAAACCATTTAATATACTGCAAATAGCCTAATAGTTTTTTATGTTTATTTATAATTCATTTAGGCGGACAACAAGGCTACCAAGTACTGCACACAGTGTGCAGCTAATTAATTTAACGTTTTTTTTTCCTAACGTAATTTTTAGTCGAAAATTTCAGGATTTCAATAGACCAAGATTTTCTTTGGTTGAGTACAGCCCTAGTTATTAGAAGTATAACAACAGGCCAGACAGACAGGGTTCTGCCTAAAAGTCTCTAAACCTTTCTGATATGCACACAAACGCATGTTTAGGAGCCAAATCTCACCAGACTCTGATGCATCAGACCGTCTGGGTTTTGGAGAAGGAGTGTCATTTCTTCCACCAGGCCTGTGCTTCACAGCTGAAATTTTCACATGCATTTCAGTCAGAATCATTTTTACTGCTTATTATCTTACAAAAAATATGGTGCTGACAAGGAACCATTTCAGATTAAAAATAAAAAAAATAAAAAAAGACTATACTCGGGAGTTATTCAAAGCATTTCAAATAACAATATTGACTTCTAGGAAACAACCTGAAGGGCTGGTGTCTGGTCCTGAAGGACTGCGGCCTCGTCTTCTGGAGGGGCTGACGGGGTCTAAGCGGCGTGGAAGTTTTCTGGGCGGTGTAGCTGACCTACGCTTCCCTGCTCTCTTATGGGGTGACCGAGAGGAGGAGCTGCCTGTGGAGGACCGGGAGCGAGAGCGCCGCCTGGTGGACGAACAAGATCAGGTGAACAAAAGCTGACTAGCAGTTCACAAGAGGCAGATGAAAGACAAGTTTAATTTTTATATTAAAGACGAGTAAAAAGATGAAGATATGAGAACAAGAACATTTATAAAACTAAATGTAAAACCAGTGTCGCTTTACCGTTCAAAAGATTTAAGTCGTGCTTATTAGGGTTGTCACTAACGATTATTTTGGTAATCTTTCAATTATTTTGACGATTAATCAGATTTTATTTTTGTGGTAATAAAATTAGACCTATGGGAACAATAGACTATAAAAATATATAATAATGAGGCAATAATAACTCATTCAAATAAAGTATCAAAAGCAAGTAATCATGGTTTTATTGAACAGTTAAAATACATAATGTACATAAAGTAATATGTATTAAAACAAATGCCTGCAGAGGGCACCAACAGCCAGGTGATTGTTGCTGTTGCACTTTACAGCATGATCAAATCCTTGTTTAATATTGTGCAAACATTTAATTCAAATGTCTAATCAATCACTTAATATTTGGCCACTTTACGATAAAATGGTACAGCGAGTTTAAACAACTTTTATTTTGACATCGCAATGAATAACAGTTTGCATATCTGCAAATCTGGCGAAATGGCGCACATTGAGTTCCCAAATTAACGTTATCAGCAATCCAAACTCACAGCATATGCAGAGATGGAGTTTGTTTACACAGCTGCTGAGATGCTCCACCCATGTAAATAATAGCACATGTCGCAATGAAACAAAATGCATACTACATAAGCATTTCCAAAAGCACGTTATTGGAAACCTAAACAAACAGCACATGCAGAGATGAGTTTATGTGAAGTAGCATTTACTGTGAGGTGCAGCTCTGAAAAAAAAACATAACCACCAAGCATGTAAACAAAGCGTGACAGCCCTTGATTAATTTATTGTGTAGCCTTATAAAATGGTCTAATAATGCGCTTTCTTGTCCTTGGAATGTGCCACTTCTGGTATTTTAATCGACATGGGTAAATTGCATTCAAGGTTTTATTTTATTTTTATTTAATCGAGGAATTGTGACAGCCCTAGTTTTTATTATTCTATTTTTACAGTCTCTTATGCTCACAAAGGCTGCATTTATTTGATCAAAAATACAGAAAAAAGTAATATTGCAGGGCACCAGACTGCGACCAACTGGTCGCAAAATTTTTCCTTTTTTCCTGCCAGTGCGACCAAATATTTATTTAGGTCGCGCTGGCGCGATCACAACGTTGCTGAGCAGCGAATGCAAACAAATGAAAGCGGAACAAAAATGCGCTACTCATTTATGCTTCACGTGCCGTTTATTAGTTCGGACCAATAATAGACAGCGCCCCGAACTTGCCAGTCGCGGGCTGATCTCGATCATGCCACACTGTTACTAGGAGATCCAGACTCTGGAGATCCAGTGAAGAAATCCATTGAATTCGCCTCAGAATTAATAAATTCAGTGCGAGATCCAGTGAGAAACATTCCGATTCAGCGCAGAATAAACCATCTCTTGTTATAAACCATAGATATCAGATCAAACAGCGCTGACGTGGAAACCAGGAGAAACACTTATAGAAGGCTTTCAGTCCACAAATCAGCAACATTCACCATGGATTTAGGCTAATGTAGTAACTCTAACCATAAATATGGTATTGTGACAGAAATAGTCAAACGCTTGTAAGTACTAGGCTACACATCTTTTTCCAGCACTTCAAAACTATAATATCATATATAAATGTTATTTTTAATGTGATGACCAACACATTTTATGTTCATCCTTCAAAGACTGTCCTAAAACTAAAAATGTTAAGATGTAGGAAAACTCTTATTTAAACACTTATTTAAAAATAAAAATTAAATTACCATTGTAAACAGTATGATGCTTATTCGCTATTTTCACTTCTTATCAATTTTTTCACTCGTTTTGCTTTTTAATTAATATTAAGACATTATGAATAATAATAATTAAAGTTAATTTCATCTACACCCTAAATTAAGCTTAGTGCTTTATTGTCAGCCCCAGTGCTACCAGATATTTTTGTAGAAGTCAGTGGCTCCGGTGATGCTGCCCTCAAATGTTAGTCTGGAGCCCTGTGAACTTAAAATAAAACTGCACATCGTAATATCTGTACGTTAAGTCTATTTATTATTAAAGAATTTGTCAGTATTATAGTTGTTTTGGGGGAAATTTGAATAATTGCATTGCAAGATGATTTAAGGTGTGCCCCTAAATTTTCTGCTTGCGCTCCTAAAATTCAGTCAGGGGCTACACCGCTCCTAGTAAAAAAAGTTAGTCTGGAGCCCTGTAATTTATTTATTTCTGAGATGCTAAAACTGAATTTTCAGCAGCCATTATTTCAGTCTTCAGTGTCACATGATTGCCACTGTTATCAGTTCTCTCTTTGCGCTCATACACACTCCAGTCTTCACACAGACGAGTGCTTCAATCTATCGCTTAACGCTGTTGTGGAGACTATTCGTTCTGGTGAAATCCCAAAACAGTGCACACAAACATGTCTATGCTCTTGATATAGAATCACTGATGAACACCTTTGGTTTTAATGAGAAAAAAAAACAATACGAGGGCAGATTAGAACCCAACCTCTCTGATATGCTTAACAAAAGTTCTACCACCAGACCATTTAGGCACACGAGTATTCTAGGCGAATCTATGCATTTCTCACAGATAAGAAGAATCTCAGGACTAATAATATTGTATTATAGTTAGGGATGCACGATATTGGATTTTGGCCGATATTCGATATGCCGATATTTTCAAACTAATTTTGCCCAATGCCGATACCGATGTATTTGTATTTTTTTTTAAGTGCAAAAGCTTATTAAAGCTTCTATTAAAGTTCTGAGTCAAGAGCAGTGAGTGATTTCCTCTGTGTTTTGTTGTTTTATTAACGATAGTTCTCCCAAAAATTTAAATTGTCATCATTTACTCTCTCAAGTTGTTTTAAACCCAAATAAATTTCTTTCTTCTGTTGAAAATAAAAGTTATTTGGAAGAATGTGGCTAACCAAACAGTTGCTGTACTCCAGTGACTTCCAAAGTATATTTAAGCACGAGAAAGAAATTATTACAGGTTTGGAACATTAGAGGAAGTAAATAATGACAGAATTTTTATTTCTGGGTGCAGTATCTCTTTAAGGACATGGGCAGCATATTATAGATACTGTCTCTTTAAGAGCTGCACGCGACTCGTCTAATATGCACGCATTTGACAAGCAGATTTTCTAAGCAGACAAGGGGCGGGTCATTATTATTGTTTTTTTAATCCATGTATGTTGCTTGCAATTTCCAGGCAGCCTATATTAAATATTTGGGAATATCTATTTTCGTATTTTATTAGGTTATTTGATAAGGTTACAATACGAATGCCGTAGCAACTTAACTTGCGTGAGGTCCATAAACCTTTGGCGTCGCGTGACACGTCACGAAAGCGGCGCACCAAGCAGCTCCGCAGCTCCCGCTGCCAGCCACGACAACAACAACAACGGAGAAATAAAAGTGAAGATGGAAGACGAGGTGCGGGAGAAATTGAGGTCGGGAATTTACCTGATTAAATTGAAAAGAAAAATAAGGTTACAGGCTGCTAAATCTAATGTTTGGGAGCTGTTCTCAGAAATAGTTGCAGCAGGAGACAACAGTAGCTAGATCGGCTACCTGAAGTGCAACTCGTGTGAAAAATATACAAACAGTAGCGCCACAAAACGGGCACTTCCAGCATGTCAAGACATATTTGTGGGGGTCTAAGAAATAAAAAATGGTTTAGCCTATTAGATGAATACAAACGCTGCTTTATGTTGAAAATGTTTATTAGTATCTTATTAATATGACCTGATTTATGATTCATAATCGTCTCTTGTTGCCAGTTTACAGGGCGATGTTTCCAAGCACTTTCAGGCTGAAATAAAGGCTGTTTTCATTTACATTACAATGCCTAGTAGTAGGGGTGGCACGGTACATGAAAAAACACCCGAACCGTTCGGTTCGCTTGTCTCGGTTCGGAGCGTGTGTGCGCGTCTCACGGTTCGACGCATGCCCAATGTAGCCTCGTCCCCGTATGTGACCTCAGACATGTGTTTCCTTTTCGTGCGAAATAAGACGTGTGGACATACATATGAGGCTTGTTCGACTTGAACCGGCGCTGCACAGAGCGATCGGTGAATAACATCAAAGTACCGCGAGAGCAACGGCTCCGTATGCTTTTCAATCACTCTCGCGGTACTTTGATGTCATAAACCGATCGCTCTGTGCAGCGCCGGTTCAAGTCGAACAAGCCAGTAAAGGTGGAGTATGGAGTGCTGCAGGTCACGTGACGTCACGTGTAGAAATGGCAAGTGGGAGAGACAGGGTTTCTGCAAGTTTTACAAAGTCAAATTTAAGACTTTTTAAGACCTTTTTAAGACCATTACGAATGAAATTTAAGACCTATATCACGACATATAAAAAAACGTACAAAGGAAACGCAGAGTCTCAAAATTACTTGCCAAGTAATTTAATTTATTCAAACTGAACATAGTACTTTCGTCGAACATCAGCACGAACGGTCCCGTGATTTTGGAAATTAGTTCTGTTTTTATAAAATCCGCTATTCCAAAGCGCGTAATGTAGGCTGTTTTATCTTTCCCGCACCTGAAGGATTTAGTGATGTCAGAGCCCGGAAACATTGTTTGAAGCAATTCCCAGATTTCCTCATTTGGACTGTAGGACTAGTGTCTTGTCACTGTGTGGAGAACCCAGAGCACCTCCACTTTTAGTGGTGGCTCTGGTTCAAAAGCAACACGGAGGTCGATTGCGGGAGTTGCGGAGCTACTGTGTGGGCCAGGCCTCGCCTAGGCAGTGTAAGTTAGAAGTAGTGCTGGAGCCGCCAGATACTTGCAAGAACTGGCTGATGGCTGTCGTTCGCTGGAGACCCTTCACAGCAGTTGCTAGATGTTTATCACTTTTTGCATGTGACTCCAGCGCCCGTACAC